ATACGCGGGTTTGATTTCGTCCGAATTAGCCCGATCGGAAATTTCGGAAGGTGATTTTCAAGGCAAAGACCCCATATGTTATTAATTTTATGTGGCCTTAGTTGGCGAACTTTTACCATCAAGGGCCAGAGAAGTTCGGGTTGATGATCGATACCACTGCTACACAAACGAACTAATTTCAGAATTTCTTCGTCGAGACGGATCGAATATTACAAAATTGTTTAAGAGTCTGTAATACTACGTAGAACGATAGGGCCTTGAGATCTTGATTATCTGATAACGATGAGATTGATTACATATGAAACAATCGATCATCAACCCAGGGGCCGCCATGGAGAACTCTTTACACGTCCAGTATAGATGCCACCCTACATGTTTTTACAGTAATAATCAAAGCATCTTCTCGGCTTTTGAAACATTGGAGCTTTTTTCAGGAATGTATAAATCTTTTTGTTTTTTTGAATTATGAGTATGTCTATTAAAGCCTTTTCTCTCCAGACAACGGTCGAAATAAATTTTTTTTTATTTCAGTTCTTATAATATTTCAAGATGTGTTTTTTTGTTTGACCTAGTTTGTGAACATTTTTAACTACTGGTAATATTCTTTTTTCAATTAATAGTTTAAATCAACTTTGAGTTAGATAGTTTTTATATTTTAGTTTTTGGATATTCTTATAAGTACAGTATATAATTCTTTTTTTTCTGTTGTTAGTCAACATGCTTAGCTAATATCTAAGTTATATTTTAAAAATTTTGACCTTCAACGTGTCTGCCTGTGGCGCAATTCTTTTATTTGTTCCGCAACATATTCGAGAAGAGTAACTTATGCATCAGATTGAAATGGAGACAAAAAAAAAAAGGAATTGATCGATTAAGAAAATCAATAATTTTTCTATATCATAAATATTTTACTATGCTGCATCAATTTTAATATATGCCAAAGAAAAATGGGACATTGGTTTCTAATTGATTATTTATTTAAATAATAAATGATAAACCAATGTCCCATTCTCCCATTTTCCCTTGGCGTCACTCATATAGTATACACAATCATATTTTGATATAGTCACAAATTGTCCAAAAAACTATTATTTGTTTGAGAATTTCTATTTGTACCCGGTGGGTATGGTCCCGGATATAAGAAAAAAAACAAAAATCGGTAATATCTCAAATTTTATTAAGAAAATCAATGTAATGCTCTTAAATAAAAATGTTCAGTGACTATTTTTACTTATAAAATACACCTTTAATTCTGACCTAACTAGTGTTCGGCGCAATCAAACAAAAATTTGATAGTCAAATACTTGTAATTAGATCGGACATCAAATAATCGCAGATTAACTAATACTACATATACGTATATACAGTATATATATATGTATATATAGTTAGTGATGCATCAATAACGTAACTACTTTCGCGGGTTTCTATCGCCTGTCGTATAATATTTACGTTGAAGATATTGAAAATCAGAATCTGCTAGTTAAACTTTATTTATGGTCTCGGACCATTTTCTTAGCAAAAAATCACGTATACTGTATATTGTAGTTCATAACGATAAATATCATATTTTAATTAATTTGCGAATACTGGAATATAAATTACATTATTTAGTATATCTTTCAGAAACAAGATACAGCATTTGAACAAAATGTGTCTCAAAGTGCATCACACTTTCCTGGTTACAGTGCGCAGCTACCTGATGTATAATAAAATAAAAAATTCGGATGACCGAGATATATAATTCCAATACAACATTCGAATTTCATTGAAAATACCGGATCAAAATTCGGATGCTTGTATTAGATTTTATATAACACGGTTAAACATACATTATCTGAATTTTCGATCATCCGAATTGTTCCTGATTATCGGGAATTCTGACGAGATGCAAATATTGTTATAAGGAAAATGACTTTTTTGATACTATGCAAAATCGACTTTTAAATTTTGTATAGTATCAAAAGTCACTTTCCTTAAAACAAAAATTGCATTTCATCCAAATAATTTTTACATCGTATAATCGCAATATTGTCACAGTTTCCCTGTGACGTATAACCCGAGGTTTAAATATTTCATTTTGTGTCTGTTTGTTTTTCTGTTTATTTATCATACGATAAACACCTGATTGAGTGTGACCATGGTTGGGGGAGAAACTGGTTATTGCTCACAATCGTTGTGGGAAAAACTAGTGATTCCATTTTCCTAGCACGCGTTGCTCACAACTCGTGCACAACGTAGCGAAGCAATGTTGTAAGTATAATAATTTCGGAATAGTGTAGCGCAGTAGTTCATATTTTAAGAAAATGAATTTAAGGACCTTCAAATTTCCTCAATAAAACTTCTATCAGGCTTCGATATTTAATGAATTGGAAATACTGTAAGAATGAATCTCTCAAGTGTTTAATTGATTTATGCTTATGTGTTAACTTCACTTTACATATAACTTACATTTATTTAGTTTATGTTCGATACATTAAATACTTTACATTTCGTTATCCTTACACTTAACAGTTAATTACCGTTATTACACTCGTACTACTTAATCCTGCCCTTGCAGATTAACCACTTCACTAACGTCAATCTTTCTTCTCCGATCCCGATTAAATTAATTTTCGTGATATTACGTAGGCACGTGACCGTAACTAAGGATGGCAAAAATCATTTAAAAATGATTTACGAATGATTTAAAGCCCTTTGTTTTATTACGTAATATATTATATTAATTTAAACACCGAGTCTTTGGGTGCAATTTTTTAAAAACCATTGCCATTGCGATTTTTAAATCAGCTTTAAATTGATTTAAATAAAAATCAGTGATTTATATCATTGTGATTTAAATCATTTGCCATCCCTAACCGTAACTAGAGGTCTGATCCGGTCGAAAAATAAGATTCGAATATTCATTCGTTCAATCCGAATATTCACTGAATATTCATTAATATTGATGATCATGAAATAGAATTGTTGATTTGGAACAATAATGAATTAAGACAATATTATGAAGTTGAATAATTGAGAGTTTAAATACACAAGCTAACAAATGAATTTTATACATTAAAATAAATAAATCAATAGAGAAATATTCTAGCTAATAAAGATTTATCTTGCTCATCTCATGATTATTAGCATTGCTAACCAATCAGTATATAAGATACAGTATAACACCCAATCTTGCATTTAATTGGTCGATTAGATAGTATACATTCATTGAATATTCAATGAATTATTTGGTGAGAAATTTTTATATTCGAATATTCATTGAATATTCGAATATACTATTCATCGGATCAGACCTCTAGATATAACCTTAATATAAATCAACCCTACAATTAGATATTGTTCTCCCTACGATAATAACAATATCTCGTGATTTTGTGATCAGAATTGAGACGCAACTCTGGTTACGTCAACGGATCACAAGATATCGTATCGGTATATAGCGATAGTTAATACATTATTGTGTAATAACTACATGCCTCACAGTAGCAGAAAATTTTTCAATCAATCAAAACCTGCATACTGCGAGCACTTTGTTACATAATTACGTAATTACCCTCTATAAAAAAAAATATAAAATTGTACTTAAAGTTATGGATTTTCCCCAAAATTGGATTGGATCCAAAAAAAAAAAAAGTACGTAGAAACTTCTTTTACATGTGAAGACATTAAAATGACCTAGTATATACGTACAGTACTCTACCTTTTTTTCAATATGAATGGATCTTCTATCAACGATTACCATCTAACGTGAATTCGTGGTATAAATAGATTCGAGAAACTTTTTTTTTCAAAGGTTCACTTTCAACGTCAACGTAAAAAAATGGCCGATGCAATAAAATTTATTTTCCCAAAGATTCCAACGTTAATTTCTACAATAATAGACCATTATAAAAATGGCCCTCCAAAACCGTCATGGAACTTATTATTTCACTTGTCTTTTATGTTTACTAAGTTAGCACTTGACGGTTTTGATTATGTAACGATTGAAAATGCTCAAGCATTTTCAAATAGGTCCGTTGCCATTTCACTTGATTTTGCAGTAAATAAAGTTAGAATTTCTAACGAATACAGAAAAAATGCAGAACAATACATTGAAAAGTTAGTGAAAGAATATGAGCACATAATTGATGATGAATGGAATAAACTTGATAATCTAGAAGAATTAAGTGCTGAATGGGTTTACATAAGAAAAAATGGTTTTATGCGAAAACAAGATAAAAGAATAATCTTGTATCTTCATGGTGGTGCTTATGTTATGTGTAGTGCTGGATCACATCGTGCCATCACTTCGGACATTGCAAAAGCTGCTGATGCTCATGTTTTCGGTGAGTAGAAAGAAGGTTTGAGACTTAGTATTTATTAACGCTACGTACAATAATCTGAATAAAATAAAATAAAAATTACATAATCAAAGCTATTAATTACCGGTTGGCGCCACAAAATCAATTTCCCGCGGCCCTGCATGATGCACTAGCTGCCTATTTATATCTCATTGATCCACCAAAAGATGCTGGTTTCAGTGCAATTAATCCTAATCAGATTGTTATAATGGGTGATAGTGCCGGAGGTGGCCTTGCCATTGCTACATTACTGGCATTACGTGATAGTGGTTTGCCAATGGTTGCTGGAGTTGTCGGTTGGGTTAGCACACACCTATAAATTTTCTTTTTATATGCTAACATTCAAATTGTCACATTAGTCATGAAATTTCTTATGCATTTTCTAGTCACCATGGGTTGATTTGACACATAGTATGCCATCCATCTTAAGCAGAGATTGCGATAAATACGATTACCTTCCAGGTTCTACTTTACAATTTCTTCCTTCTCAAGTTCAAACCCGATTCCTCGAAAAATCCGCTGCACTATCTGAAAAAATCAATCAATCAAACAAGCCAAGGACATGGCATAAGTCCCTTGATCGAGAAGTTCGCATTCAACTATATGCCGCTAATGAGGCCTTATCAATTCCTTATGTAAGGTAAGAATGATCGGAATATCAAGTATAAATGAGCACAGATTAATTTAACTTAATCATTTATTTTGTAAAGTCCTTTGTGTGCCGAAAGTCTGGGTGGATTGCCGCCTATGTTTTTGGTACGTATTCTTCTTATTACCTCTTAAATGTCAATTTAGTCGGTCGGTCGCATAATTTATACATGATACTATAGACGACGGGTGATACAGAGAGGTTACGTGATGAGACTATTTATCTTGCATTCAAAGCCAGTCAACCTTCAAAATATTTATTGCCAATATATAATGCTGGCAAATTTGAGATATCACCATTTAAAACACCTACAAATGTCACTCTTGAAATTTATGAAGAAATGCCTCATATGTTTCAGGTATATTATCTATTACATCTACCAGAATATTTTGTCATTTTCAAAAAAAAAAATATAAAATAAAATAAAAATAAATAAATTCTTGAAATTAAAATTTTTTACGTAAATATCATACAGATTCTTGGATTCAGCGAATTAGCTTTATTTTCATTTCAGCGTACAGCTAAATTCATTCACGAAGCTGTTGTATCCGCCTCAGGAAAGTCCATATCAACCCCAATGACCAATTCGTCAAATTACGTTAGAATAAACGCAAATAAGAAATTTTCTCCATTAAAAGAATGTGACTATTCAGTACTTGAATGGCAAAATGTTGGTTGTGCTCCAAATATTGAAATACCTAAAATTCCTATGGAAACACCTAGCGGAAGTAAAATACGGTAAGATGTTGGTTTTACAGTACTGTGATTTTGGTATACGAACCCGTAACTAACTTTATTTTGGGAAATAGTCCACTGGATCCGCTGGATCATATTCAAAGACCCGAAAATATTTAAATACAGTCGTCTCTCGTTAATATCAACCCGTTAATATCAACCTCTTGTTAATATCAACCTTTTATTAAGAACAAATATGCTTAAGAAATATAAAAACTATTCCTTTGTTATCAACCCTCGCATATATCAACATAATTGTCTAATTCAAATGGGTTGATATAAATGAGGGACGACTGTATCAAACTGCAAAAGTTTATTTGGATATCGACTTATATTTGGGTAATTAATTTAGAAATCACAGGAAGTGAATTTCACCGGTATATGTTTTTGATTATTATCAAGATTTTATAGAATTTATCTTAAATTTTAAAGTTAAATTAGATTAGTTTAGGGCTAGAGTCCAAATTAAAGTCGAAAGTTGATTTTTTTTAGGGTGCTGAACATTCTTATTTAGTACCTCAAACACTGATTACTAAAGCCTTCTTGAGAAATAGCATATCTGGTGCGATCAAATAACACGATTTTGTGTAGTAGCATATGGGTGGATTTGACTCCAATGTGATTGTCACATAACGATAATTCACGCTGATTGGCAATTTATTTTGTGCAATATTAAATTTTAGGGTTTCGTAAAAGTATGCCTTCCTTTTAAAATATAATGTAGTTGGGCATTTCACGTTTAATTCAACATGGCTTTAATTTCTTGATCCTATTTTGGTTCTAAATTATCTTAAATTTTTAATAATAATTTTAACGCAAAAATACCGTTCCTGATGAAAAAAAAAAGTAGATTACATACCTTTCTGATAGGGTTCTCTGAAATTAATTTTTCACGGCAATTGATTTACATTAGCCAATTAGACGAAAGTTTCACTATGAAGGTTTCGGGAGTTTCGAATGTTTTAAAAAATCCGAAACTGGTTTCGCATTAAGACCTTTCGGAAACCAGCTTCGTGTAGGGTATCGTTTCGTTGCCCAACTCTAGTGTATACTAAAAAAATGCAGCGTTTTTGAAAATTTTATTAATAAAGTATGTATAGTTGAATTTTTGTATAATTTACTATAGTTCTAATATTAAAAGATATTTTTAAACAAAATTTAAATAATCTTATATTTATATAATCAGCATAGAAAAAATATTTTTTTTAAAATAACTTTTTTTTAAAATAACAATTTTTTTAAAAAATAAAATTCAGGATAAGATTATTTAAAGATAAAAT